GAAGTGGAAGGTCTTTAGTGTGGTTTAAATTCTAGATTTGGTCATGTGGGTAAGACCTCATGCTGACCATTCCGTTTGAAGAATTTAAACAACGATACAGGTATTTGGAAAATGGTCTAACAGTACTTAAATAAGAGAGAATTGCATGTAGGTTGTTTCTGGGTAAGTGCTTGTTCTACCCATTAGGTTCCTTAGAAAGAATAAAAGGGTAGAGATGTGGCTCAAGCAGTAGTGACTGCTTTGCAAGCATGGAGGCCTAAGTTCAAACCCCACTCCTACCAAAATACAAATAAACAAAAAGAATTGTTTCATTAGGAGACTCTTATTTCTAATTTCTTGGTATGTCATAGTGCTGGAACGCACAAACCCAAGGCTGTGAGTTTTTTTTTTTTTTTTTGAGTGTGTGTTATATAGTACAATTTAAAAGTACAAGTTGTAAAAGTTGTGGTACAACTGAAAAGTTGGTTTAGAGGGCTTTACAGTCAGTATGGAGCAAATGGTGGTCAGCAGCCTTGTTTTGTGTTGTTTAGTTTTTCTTCCTTAGAGTTGTTCATTTGTCTAGTACTTAATTCTGACAGATTCTTAGAGCATCCTCTGTGCTTATCTGTGATCTCAGCAGGTGAATAAGCTTCCCAAATGCTGGGATAACCAGATGCACCAGCAGCAGCTGCTGTGTGATTTATAGGAGTCTAGTAATCACGGAATTCAGGAGATATTTGAATAGAGGCTGGGAATAGAAAAACCATAAGATATGTATGCATATGCGTAAGCCTCATGCTTACTAGGCACATGCTCTGCCATTTGAGCCACGCCATGGTCCATAAAGAATAGATTTTTTCAACTTCCAAAGAAGAACATTTGAAATGCAAATATGATGGATCCTGTGTGTACGGTTTGCATCTCAGACTATCCTCACCTGACTCATGCAGATGTGGCTCTCATCACCAGTGCTCTCTCCTCTGAGTCCCCTGAGAGGTGGGGGAGGGCTTGTGCAGGGCCTTACCGGAGGAGTGTAGCTGCAGCATACTTCTCGTCCCCCACCACTGTTACCCTGCCCTTGGGGTGCAGTCCCTGCTCCCAGCCTGTGTTCTCCTTGCAGAACTCCTGGGTTCTCTTTCTTGGATATTTTCTCCTCATTGCTGACTGTAAACAGAACTTTGTGGGCTCTGAGGATCTCTCTCACAAGATCTGTCCCCATGCCATTCCTCCAAGCTGAGTGTGACCTCTATACATATACACGTCATAGGACCCTTTCTGGGTGTGGGGTGGTGCTCACTGTCCTCCTGAGCTGTGGGCTTCCCTCCCTCCTCCTGCGCTGCCTAGAAACCTGTAGATAACAGGAGCATATGGAGCTCAGAGTGACCTAAAATGAAATGTGATGGAGAGAAGAACACAAGGACCTGCATGGAGGGTGACTGCAGGGGCAGCCCTACTCAGGGAAGCCACCAGACCTTCTCCATGAAAGGCCTGCATGCTCTTGACCCACTTATACCCTTCTCCAGGTAAAGCCAAATTACTTTGTGCTGTTTGCTTATGCACGCTGTAGATTTCTCCCTTAAATCTTCTCATTGTGATTGAGGTGGGCAGTGAAGCCCCTCCCCATTTTCAGTGCAGCCCTGCAGAGCAGTGGATCTGTCACCTGGCACAGATGTTACCCTGCAATGCCTTCTTCGTAGAGGGGCAGGCTGCAGGGGCACGCCCTGGATTCTGCCTCCCTGTGTCCTAGAGTTTCCTTGGGCTTTGTGGACTGTTGCAGAGTAACCTGAATCTGGTACTCAGTGCTTTTTCTAAAAGTTTTAACACCATGCAGCAAGTCTTTCTCTTTTAAGTGGAGATACTTGTAGATTCAGAATGTATTAATACATTATTCACAAAGAGTGCTATGGAAAGACTGAATGTGCTCTTCACCCATTTCCCCAGTGACCACAGCATACCACCATCAGGATGCCAACGTCTGTACAGTTCCCTTACAGCTATACCTGCTTCCCTCCCGCCCCCACCTCTTCCGCAGCCCCTAGCAGCTCTTATTTTGTCATTTGAAGAATGTTATGTAGCTGGGCATTGGTGGCTCACACCTGTAATCCTAGCTACTCAGGAGGCAGAGATCAGGAGGATCATGGTTCAAAGCCAGCCCAGGAAAATAGTTCTCGAGACCCTGTCTCAAAAAACCCATCACGGGGAGGGGAAAAAAAAAGGCTGGTGGAGTGGCTCAAGGTTTAGGCCCTGAGTTCAAACCCAGTACTGCAAAAAAAAAAAAAAAGGTTATGTAAATGGGATCATGCAGCGTGTAACTGTTGAGGCTGGATTTGCCCAGCATAATTCCTGGAGGTTTATCTGAGCTGTTGCTTATGCAATAGCTTCTTCCTTTTCACTGCTTAGTAGTGTTCAGTGGTGTGGATGCACAATTTGTTTAGTCATTCAGTTATTGAAGGACATCTGGGTAGTTTCCAACTTTTGCTGCCATGAATAGAGCTGCTGGGAACATTTGTGCCGAGGAGTGCCATTGCAAGCTTGTACACCAGTTGCATGTTTATATTTTAAGAAACTATCCAACTGTTTTCCAGATTGGTTACACCATTTTGCATTCTTATCAGCAATGTCTGACTCATATTCTTGCCAACATTCCGTGTTGCACTGTTTTTTATTTTTCCATTTCATAGGTGTGTGGTGATATCTCCTTAGGGTTGCCTTACATTTCCCTGAGAGCTGCTTTCTCTACTTACTTGCCATCTCTGTGTTAGATGCCTGTACTTGTCTTTTGCCCATTCAGTCATTGATTGTGTGTGTGTGTGTGTGTGTGTGTGTGTGTGTGTGTGTGCGCGTGCGCGCTGCGCACGCATCTTACTGGGGTTTGAACTCTTGGTCTTGGCACTTGCTATACAGTTGCTCTACCACTTAAGCCATGCCCTCAGCCCTTTTTTGCTTCAGTTATTTTTCAGAGCAGTGGCTGGCCTTTTTGCCCCTGCTGGCCTGGACCACAATCCTCCTACCAGTGGCCTTCCACATAGCTGGGATCATAAGCATGCACCACAAATCCCAGCTTATTGGTTGAGATGGGAACTCACAAACTTTTTGCTGGCAGGGATTCAACCTCCATTCTCAAGGTCTGCTTTCCTAGTAGCTAGAAATAAAGTCAGTAATCGTCCAATTTCAAGGCATTTAACCCTAGCCATTTACTTTGATATCATCTTGTGAATGTTGTGGGGGGCAGCTGATAAGGAAACTTAAATTGGGTGGGGTAAATCACAATAGAGTGATGGAATGAGTTACAATCCAGAAAGCGCGTATCACATGAAGACCTTCCTGCCACAAAGGCAGATAATTATCTAAAGCCCGCCTCTAAAATTTGACCAATCCCAAGAGGTGTATTTTAAATAACCCAATAGGAATTAGGTGCTGTCCATGAAGAAGAATGTACACCCCATAGTACTTAGCCAGTGAGGAACTAGGGGAGGGACTTGTGCACTAGGTAATATATAGCTTATTGTAACAGCTTCCAGGGTCTTTGCTGGTCAGGTACCCAGTATTATCCAGGTTGCATTAAAGTCTCCATGTGTCTCTTGAGTCCATTCTTTGAGTTTGGACAGGTGAGCATATTTCTCACACTGGGATTACAGGTGCAAGCCTGTAGTTGTTTGTTTTTATTTGTGATAAAACATAAAACAATGACCATCTTCTCTTTTTTTCGGTGCTTGGGGTTGAATTCAGGACATCACATATCATCCTACAGGGACTTTAGTAGAACAAGTTTTTAATTTAGATGAAGTTTATTTTATCCGTTTTGCCTCTTATGGATTGTGATTTTGAGGTCAAATCTAAGAACTCTTTGCCTAGTCCTAGACCTGAAGATTTTTCTCCTAAAACTTTTATAGTTTTATGTTTACATTTAAGCCCATGTCCTTTTGGGATTAATTTTAATATAAGATGTGAGGCTTGGGTCAAGGTTTTTATTTTGCTGCCTATGGATGTGCAGCTGTCCGGGAATAATTGTTGAAAAAGTCATTTTTCATCCATTGCATTCTTTTGTGCCTTTATCAGAGATCATTTGTGCAGAGATCATTTGGGCTGCTTTCTACCTGTCACTCAGGTAGAAAGCGCGCTTGGTGTACATGAGGCCCAGGTTGATTCCAGTGCTGAAAAGTAAAGAGGGAAAAAGCAGTTGGGGTGTTTTTGAGGCCATTTCTGGGTGTTCTGTCCCATTGAGCTATATCCAGCCCTCTGCCAGTGCTATGGAACTGTAGGTAGCTATACAGTTGGTCTTAATGCCTGGTTGGGTAAGTCTTCCCACTATTTTCAAAATCATTTTAGTGAGTCCAGTTCCTTTGCCTTCCTATGTAAATTTGCAAATAATCTTATGTATAGCTACAAAAAAATCTTACGGGGGGTGGGGGTTAGACTGATTAAAGTGCAGTATATTTATAGGTAGAATACCAAGACAAAACCCCACTGAACAGTGAACAGACACTTGAACAATGAAGGATGGGAATGTGAAAACGAGCCATGTTAAGTTGAGGGTACTGATGAGAGGGGAGGTGCAGGAAGAGGGTAAAGGAGGGAGAAAATGGTTGATGTGCTGTCTATACAAGTAGGATTGAGGAATATTGAAACTGTTGAAGTCATTTTAAGAAGGGGGGAAGAGGGAGAATAATGAGGGGATGACCAAATTCAGAGTACATTGTACACATACATGGAAATGTCCCAGTGGTCTCCCTGTACAACTATTATATACTAACAAAAACATTAGAAAATGAAACAAAATTTTTCTGGGTTTTGGTAGAAATCACATTAAGCCTGTGCATCCTGTGGACAGAACTGACATCTTTACCAAGTTGAGTCTTCCAGTACACAAACATGGGCTCTTCCCTTTCTTGTACAAGCCATGGAGGCAAGGACACAACTCTGACGCAGCCTGTTGGCATGCATTGACAGATGCTCTTTTGTCCCTGAGAGAGTAGCAAGGACATACTGTCACTTCTTTGTTTTTGTGTTTTCATCCACAGGCTTATGAGAGGAGGTTCCCTACATGTCCTCTGATTCCAATGTTCGTGGATAGTGACACCGTGAGCGAATTCAAGAGTGAAGATGGGGCCATCCACGTCATTGAGAGGCGCTGCAAACTGGACATAGATGCTCCCAGGCTGCTCAAGAAGGTAACTGAAGAGGACAGGGCAGCCCTCCCAAGACAAGTGCACTTATGCTAACAGCTTCTGTTGTGACTGGGTGTTGTAATAAACCCTTTTCTATTTCTTTTTTAAAGATTGCAGGAGTTGATTATGTTTATTTTGTCCAGAAAAACTCCCTGAATTCTCGGGAACGTACTTTGCACATTGAGGCCCACAATGAAACATTTTCTAACCGGGTCATCATTAACGAGCACTGCTGCTACACGGTGAGTAATGCCACCTGCAAGAGTCAGGATGCAGGAGCGGGCCACGCAGCTTCCCAGGGAAGCTCGTCATCATTTGAAACAGGGTGTCTCTTTGTCTTCGGGAACAGTTCTTCACCAGACAGTGTCACTCATTTCTGATTAATGGGGTCGTGGGTAACAGGTGTGGTCTCCTGCAGGAAGGATTGCACTGTTATAACAGGGAAGGCAGCCAAGTGATGTCTTGATTTCTTTTTAAATAGTACTTCCTTTCTGGTTCCATCTGAATACTTTAGATATATATTTTGAAGGGCCAAGATATTGTGCGGTGGTTTTTGTTTTGTTTTGTTTTGGTTTTTTTTTTCGATATTGGGGTTTGAACCCCAGGCCTCATGCTTGCTAGACAAGTGTTCTACCGCTTGAGCCACTCTGCCAGCCCTGTTTTTTGTTGGGTATTTTTGAGATAGGATCTAACAAATTATTTGCCTGGGTTGGCCCTAAACTGCAATCTTCCTCCTGAGTAACTAGGATTACAGGTGTGAGCCACGGGCACCCAGCTTATTGTGTTTCTTTAAGATTAGATTTGAGACAAGTAATAGAGTCCCTCAGTTCAAAATTCAGTACTGCAAAAAGAAAGGTAAGAGTTAAGAGCATTTATCTGTCTTACCATCTGCTACCCTTACCCTGTTTGAAGAGCTTGTCTTACCAGATCACTAGAATAACCTCCCACCAGTTCTCTCTGCTGCTGCCATTAGCCTCCTACAGCATATCCTCAACACTGAATCCAAATAATCCATTTAAAATGTGTCAGATCATGTCATTGCTTGGCTCAAAACCTTGCAGTCCTTACATGACTTGTGAGGCCCCTGTCCTCTCCCAATCATATTTCTTCTTCACTATGCACAAGGCTGATGACCCTTTCACTGTCCCTGGACAAGGCAGCTCCCCTAAGGATTCCTCAGTCCCTCCTTCAGTCCCTGCTCAGACCTCCCCTTTCCTCAAAGCCAGCCTTAGCTACCCTATTTAATTCTGCAGCCTGTCCTCCCAGTCCTTTCTATCCTTTTCCCCATAGTACTTATCATATAGCCATATAATTTCCTCATGGCTGATTGTCTGTCCCTGTTAAGGCCATCAGGGACACAAAGCGAGGCTCTTGTTTTGTTAGTGAGAACACTGCTCCATGAGTGTTGAATGAGTGAGTGGACCAAGAGTGAAACGAGATCTGCTTTAGTCTTGTCACCTTTTGAAGTTCTTGGAAGTACCATTTGGACCTTGTCATGGTTTGACCCTCTGTAATTTTTCCACCTGCTGTTTCACAATGGTAGCATTATTAGTAAAGTAAGGGTTCGCTTTGGCTGCACTTGGCTGAGGAGTGGAAGTGCTGTCTCAGCCGAGAACGTGCATGTCAGTGGGAGTGCTTTCTCTGTATGCAGGTTCACCCCGAGAATGAAGACTGGACCTGTTTTGAACAGTCGGCAAGTTTAGATATCAAGTCCTTCTTCGGTTTTGAAAGTACAGTTGAAAAAATCGCCATGAAACAATATACCAGCAACATTAAAAAAGTGAGTCTCAGTTGATCTTAAGCTCTTTCTGAGAGGACCTGCTTTCATCCTGAAAGTATCTCTCTTCTAACAAATTTTGCTGTAATGTTGTCCTCCTCATCCTAGAGACAACCCACTTCCCATCTATTGAAAGCATATTTCTCTCCTAATGCACTCGGCTGTCACTTAAAAAAGAGAGAGAGACTCTTAGGGTTTTATGGAAGAGGGAGGCAGGGCTCTCTGCGATGCTACTCTGAGCTAGTTGTGTTCTGGAAGGCTTGTGCTCAGTTGGACCCAGCCAGCTCTTGATCCCTTGCAGTGGGCCTCGGTTCACATGTCAGGGGTTTGGACAGTGCTGGTTGCTAAGGGAGGAGAGGAGGCATGGGTGGCAGAGCTCCCAGCCCAGGCATTGTCCCTGGAATTGCTGGGCACAGTTGGGGTGAGGCAGCAGCTTGCAGAGTCTCCAGTTCCGCCCCCTGGCCTGCTGTGGAGAGGTACAGTGGTGCTGAGATTCTCACCAAGTGGGTGCGCAGGGGTCACAGCTCCTTGACTGTTGGGTCCATCTCCTGTGGACCTTCCCACATGCTGCTACTTGTGGGCTGTTAGGAAACGGGCATTTCAGAGGAATCAGTGTGGGGTGATGGAGAGCCTTCAGATGGCTTGCTTCATTTCCAAGGTACTGTATTGAATAGAATTTGGATTGGGACAGAAAGCATATATTGAGAACAAGTATGGTAAATTGCTGTTTTAAATTGGCCAGATAAAAAATTCCATCTCTTAGGCTGGGCATAGTTCTCATGTAAGTGATGTCAGTTACTCAGGAGGTACAGTGGTCAAGAGATTTGAGGCCAACCCAGGTAAAATGTTAGTAAGACTCCATCTCAGCATAAAAAGCTAGGTATGGTGGTACATGCCTGTAATCCTAGCTATCTCTAATCCTAGCTGTGCAGGAGATGGAAGTAGGAAGATCACAGTCAGGCCAACCAAGGTAAAACAGACTATCTCAAAAATAGCTAAAGCAGGGATGGGGAAGTGGCTTAGTGGGTATACTGCCTACCTAGTAAGTGCAAGGTCCTGAGTTCAAACCCCAATACCACCAAAAAGAAAACTAACTAAAGCAAAAAGGGCTAGAGGTGTGGCTCATGTGGTAGAGTGCCACCTATCAAGCATAAGGCCCTGAGTTCAAACTCCAGTATCATTGAAAAAAAGAAAAATATCCTGTCTTCAAACACTGCTTACTAAATCTTGTAGAAGTAAAATAATTAGGGAAGAAAAAGCACAAAAGCCTTTGTCCCCCTCCCCCATGTGCCCTGTTTTATGTACCAAATTCAGTTTTGCCTTATTTTTTTAAAGAAGAGGGTCTCACTTTGCTGCCTACGCTACCTCTAAACTCATGGGCTCAAGTGGTCCTCCTGCCTCAGCTTCCCAGGTAACTGGGACCAGCAGGAACAAACCATCGCACCCAGAGTTCAGTTTTTGCTCAGTGTCTTGTAAATTGATGAGGGATGGATTATTGAAATGTTGAGTAGACACTCACCTTACAACTGGTTTCATCTTGAAGGGGAAGGAAATCATTGAATACTACCTTCGTCAGCTGGAAGATGAAGGTATTACATATGTGCCCCGCTGGACCCCACCTGCCCTTGGGCCCTCTTCAGAGACGTCAGCATCGAGCAAGAATCAAGCAGTGTCCACAGCTGCCATCGTCCCAGATGCTACCCTCAAGGAGGGACTGAGTGGCGAGGCCCTCAGTAACCCAAGCGGGGCACCTGAGCCTGTGGTGGGGACGCCTGATGGTGCGTGTGAGAGAGATGTCATTCTTCTTAAGTGGGGGCTGTGTGCCTCAGCTCTCTGCCTGTCCTTGTTTCCTTAAGTTGTTAGGGATTCTAGATAGATAAATAATCCATCTTTCTTTCCTCATTTTATTGTTTCCTTGTCCTCTAGCTTATGTAACACATCTATTTTATTTATTTTTCTCTTAGGGTTTTTTTTTGGGGGGGGGTACTGGAGGTTAAACGCTGGGCCTTAAATTTGCTTGACAGGCTTGAGTACTGCTTGAGCCACTCCACTATCTTCACTTGGGTTTTTTTAATAGGAAGGATTATTTCTTGTTACTTTGGTTTTCTGCTGTTACTGTTGTGAGTACTGGGCCATGAACTCAGGGCCTTACACGTGATACTCAAGCACTCCACTTGAGCTACTCCTCCAGCTCCCTTTGCTTTAGTTTATTTTTCAAATAGGGTCTTAGACCACAATTCTCCCACCTATCTGAGACCACAGGCCTGCACCACCACCGTGACTGTCCTTTGAGATAAGGTCTCAAAAGACCTGACTGGCCTTGAACTGTGATCCTCCAGGCCGTCTCCTGCACCGCTCTTGTTCCGTTTACTGAGAGCAGGAATGGTTTACATCTGTGTTTGCTGATGGTAGTTTTGGTGAATGGAAGGAATCAGTCCTTTCGACACAGACTTCTGCCATCACCATGTGCCAGGTGCTATCTGAGCATCTACCAGTGCTCCTTTAGGAGGGAAAGGCTTACTCACTTTCTGTGTGGGTAAACTGAGGCACAGCTGGTAAATGGCAGCGCTGGGACTATGTTGAGATGGACTCCGGATCTGCGTTCAGTTGCTGTGTGGCTTGGCACATGGTAAACACACACAAAGTTTTTTACTATGTAATTGTAGATTGGTGTCCATTGTAAAGAGTTCAGAAAACAGGAAGTTCTCCACTCAGAAACTTTGTTAAGACGTTATTTCTCTTTGCCTGCATGCCGCTCTGCAGCCTGAAGAGGTACAAATGTTTTGGGGCAGGTTTACCTTCTCTCTTGTGAGTGTTTCCATGTTGTATTGTTCATCCTTCCAGTTTGTTACTTTATCAGGGAGATTTCCTTAGTGTCTGTTTGTTCTGTCATAACAGTGCTGAGCCTTGCTTGCAGATGTAACCAGGGAAAGGTAAAAAAGTCAGAAAGCTTCCCAATGCTGTAGCAGTGGTTTCATCTGATCTGATAGCATCTGTGTGGTCTTCGACCTGCACCCCCAGGACTCCATACCACACACTGACATCACTGAGAGAAGGCATTAGGGGCCTCAAGATCCTTTGGTCTTAGTTATAAATTATGCCATGTAACTTACATTGCAGATAAACTTGATGCTGACTACATTAAGAGATACCTGGGGGATCTGACCCCGCTGCAGGAGAGCTGCCTCATCAGACTCCGCCAGTGGCTCCAGGAGACACACAAGGGCAAGGTGAGTATCGCCCCTCGTGCTACGCTGGTGTGCAAGACCCTGGAGTTCTGGTCTTGTTTAGGGTTATGGAGAGTAAACAGTCCTGACTGCTGCTGCTGGGAAAGTGCCTTCCAGCCTCAGTGGCAGTGAGTCAGTCTCTGCCTGGCAGGTTGAGATGCAGAAGTAGCTGGAGTTTTGTATGCTTTACAGAGAATGGCCTAATTTAGAAACAATTAAACATTAAGTTGCAAAGCAGCATTGTGTCCAGGGGTGCACACATTTTCAAGGGGAGGTTTTGAAGAAGCTCAAGATTAGAGATTGGAAGCATGTGAGCTTTGATTGTGAGGTTTGGGTGAAGTATAAGCCCATAAAGATGTAGAGTTTCATGGTAAGCCCTCTCTGGTGAACGAGCAGAGGCTGGTGAGTGTCCACTGAGTTGTGGGTGCTATCTAGTAACCTGTTACTGGAAGCCAAGTACCAGAGAGCTTCAGTGCCAGTCCTCAAGAATACAGCCATGGAGGAGCAGCCCGGTCCTGTGTGCTGATCCCGATTTTCTCTCTTCACTCAGTCCTCCTGACAGTCCTATAGGTGGGTGCTGTTGTGTCACCTCAGTTTTAAGCTGAGGAAACTGAGGCATGGAGAAGTTTAGCAATGTGCTCGAGGTTTTATAGCTGTTGAGCGGAGGGGGCAGGATTTGAACTCAGGCCACTTGGTTACAGCACTCACATCCTTAACCACTTGTGCGTGGCTGGCCCGTTCTGAGTGGAGACAGTGCCCAGTCGGTGGCCCCATTTCGCATCATGCTGCTAGGAGAGGGGCAGAGTAGGCTCCTCCTCCCGCACACTGCCCGGCAACGCGATGGTCCCGCCACCCACGTCAGTGAGACTGTGGCCGCTGCAGGAGGAGAGTGGGAACCCCGTCTCAGCTTGTTGTGTGTTCAGGGAGGCCGGCCCGGGCCTTAACAGTGGAATCCAGAGAAGGCTCCCCACAGCTGCACTAACAAGCCAGCGTGAGAAGTGCAGTGGGGACAGAGACGTGCACATCGTGGTAGCTCTGACGCAGGGCAGGGTGCGGCATGAAAGAGCTTCCCTCTGCCTCTCCTTTGCTGAAGTGAACGCGGAACAGCGTAGAGAAAGCACACAGCAGATGTGCTGCTTTTCTGAAGCGTCAGGGAAGGCTTTGCTCAGAACACTTTTTTCTCGTGGTGCTGAGGATGAACCAGAGCCATGGGCACGCCGGGTAAGCAAGCGCACCACCCGAGCCCCGAGAGGAGCCAATGTGAGCTGCGTTAATGCTGCTGCTCACTGCCGACCGAGGCGGGAGTGCAAGAAACTACTCCCTTAGCAACTCTAACCGTTACAGCCTTCCTTTCTCTGCCTAGATCCCAAAGGATGAGCATATTCTTCGCTTCCTACGTGCTCGGGACTTCAACATTGACAAGGCCAGGGAGATCATGTGTCAGTCTCTAACGTGGCGGAAGCAGCATCAGGTAGACTACATCCTGGACACCTGGACGCCCCCTCAGGTCCTTCAGGATTACTACGCAGGAGGCTGGCACCACCACGACAAAGGTAGGATGACCCCCAGGCCATCTACAGCTGTTACCTGTCATTTGTCACAGAGCCAGGTGGGCCCCTGGAGTGCAATGTCCCTTCTCGCTCTGAGGATTTGGTTCCAGCAGACACCAAGGAGGGGCCTGTGACCATTTGCTTCCTCCTCATGGCCCTGTGTCGCCTGCCTTGCAGCAAGTGACTTCACTTCCTTCCTTAGCTCAGTGGAGTCTGGTTTGACCTCCTAGAACACTAAAATGCATGGCTCGGTTTTCTCGGGAAAGGGACTTGAATAACTTACAAAAGCTGTGAAGTGGCCAGCCAGGTTTCCTACCTCAAAACAGTGGAGAAGTCCAGTTCTGCTCTGGACACTATGGGCAAAGTGCAGACCACGGGCAGCGCTTCTCCTGAGACTTGGGAAGCTTCTTGCACCTCACCACTGCTGCGTTCTGGAGCGGGCCTGGCAGGAGGACCCCCTTGGGGAAGGCCTGCCCTCTTCTGGCCCAGAGCTTGTGGCTGGGCAGAGAGGAATTGCAGTCCCTGGAAAGAGACCACAGGAATCACCATGGAACTGGCTCCCTCTTGCCTTTGGACAAGTTCTTCCAAAACTGGGCATCTCCCATTTCTCTTGTTTTCCTGATTTAATCTGTAGTTCTTCTCAAGGTGAATTGTAGCAGGCTGGTGGAGTGGCTCAGGTGGTCAAGTGGTAGAGCGCCTGCTTAGCAAGTATGAGGCCCTGAGTTTAAACCCCAGCACCACCAATAAAAAAAGATTAATTGTAGCTTTTCACATGGTATATATCAAAGGTCTACCATGTGATTTTTTGTTTGTTTGAGATGGTTTCTTTAGCCTAGTCTGGCCTCACACCATGAGCCTCCTGCCTCAGCCTCCTGAGTACTGGCATTACAATTGCCCACCACTCCCATACTTTATTAACTTTTATGGGAAACATACCATTTATATTTATTCCACTTTGTGATCCAACCATTTAAAAAAAAGTTTTAAAAATTTGCTGGTAAGGCCAGGTGTGGTGGTGCACTCCTGTGATCTCAGCTACTCTGGAGGCATAGATAGGATTGCAGCCTGAGGCAAAAACACAAGACTACCTGAAAAATAAGTTAAGCAAAAAAAGAGCTGGGAGCATGGGTCAAGTGGTAGAGTACCACAGGCGGAATGCAGGGCCCTGAGTTCAAAATTCTAGTACTGCACTAAAACAAATAAATAAAAGTTTGGTAGTAAGACATTGACAAATGTGTCTTACAAAATGTCAGAAGAAACTTTTCATAAATTTGCCTTTCTGTAAGATTTGGGGGTCACAGAAACCACTTTGCTATGTAAACAAATCTAGGGTCCATCTCTCCTCACAGACGGAGTTCACCAGGTGACAGGTGCGAGACAAATGTCGGCCCTGTGCAGGATGGTTCTGCTGCTCCATGCACAGCAGACCACGCCTGTGGGTTTGGGAACCTGAGCCATCTCTGCTGCTCTCTTTGGCACTGAGTGAGAAGTCTAGGGGTGCTGACTAGAGGGTACGCTGTGGCGTGGGGCCTTCTCCCTCTGAGTTGCTGGTCCTTAGCGACAGGGTTGTGTGATGAGTTCAGGTCCTCTAAGCTCCAAAGACAGAATCAACATGTGCTGGCTGCTGCAGATACAGGACCTTCCATGTTTCCATCTATCTTGGTCCTCGGAGTGGAATTGAGAGAACTGTAGTTTTAAAAATCTTGACATTAACCTGTTAGTAATCTATGAAATTTTAAAAAAATAGATTTTTCTAAGGATATTTTAGAAGCACTCCATTCATAGAAAAAGTGTGGCTACTTTGATGTTCTCCTGCCATTGAACATCCAAACCGTCACTCAGCCCTGGTGGTCCACGTGAGGCGACAGAGACAGCAATGCACATGGTCACACGGGGGCGTGCTGGACAGGCGGACTCCAGTGTGGCTCCCGTCAGCCTGCAGCACTCTGTTAAGCTGCTCCGTCAGTTGACTTTTTTTTTTTTTTTATGCTTTTTGGGGGGAGAAGTGTTGAAACCCACCCCAACACAGAAATCAGTTTCTGCTTCTAAGAGGAGTAGAGCGCTTCCCCTATTTAGAGCATAGGAAAACACATTGTGAAGGTGCTGGGGACCGAGCCCAGGGCCTCATACATGCTGGCCTCTGGACCTTTGTAAAGGTTCTTAGAGGTGTGTCCACTGCCTCACCCAGGGACAGTGCTCATGGTAGCTTTCCTCACACTCCCTGGCAGATGGACGGCCTCTCTATGTACTCAGGTTGGGGCAGATGGACACCAAAGGCTTGGTGCGAGCCCTTGGAGAGGAAGCCCTGCTGCGATACGTAAGTGCTCTATCATGGTACACCAGGCTGTACGTTGGCCTCACTCACTCTTTCTGCCAGTGGGATTTGGGGTATTGCACAAGTCTGCTGACCTGTCACCTTCCCTACTCCATGCCCAACCCTCCTCCTACCTCAGATTTCTACTGTAGCCTCCTTGGAGAAGAATCAGATCCTCCAGCCCATTATCCTAAAATAGACACAGTTGCTACGTGGTTGTGTGTTCTCTGTGTGAACGCACACACACATTCACATGTACACACATGTGAAGACACACAGGGATTTCTTCCATGGGGCCAGGATGATCATTCCACACCAAGGGGCTGTCCTGAGCCACCCTGGCTGGCTGCTCTGAGGCTGCCCCTGCTCCTGGTAGGTGCTACGGGACCAGGTGTCCCCACACTCTCCTCTAGCCTCCTGCTGTTCAAGATTCCCCCCAGACCGGTGCCCCCGCCCCTCTGGTGACTCCCTGAACTGTCACCTCACTTGGCACAGCTGTTCCTTTTGCTATAGCTGGTAATGTTCCTCTCTTCTGAGACTAGATATTCTTACTGCGATGTGCTTAGTGTGAGGGGATGTGTCAGGAGGTCTGCCTGCCCTGTGCTGCATTTGTCTCTCTGCCATAGTGTGACTAATCCCCACAGTTGTTCTGGCGCCTTATGCACAGGTTCTCTCCATCAACGAGGAAGGACTGAGAAGATGTGAGGAAAATACCAAAGTCTTCGGTCGGCCTATCAGGTAAATGGGAGCTTGCCCTTTCAGCTTATTGAGAATATGAATTGAATATTTCTACTTAATATTTAGAACCCAAATCTGGTACTTTACTTTTTTCTAAGGTGTTCTGTGGAAAGTAGGTAAGCATGTGATCAGGTCAACTAAAGGGGCCTGCTGTCCTCCCCCAGGCATCAGTCTCGGGGTTTGGCCTAACTGGTTCAGTCTCTCAGGAGCCCAGGGCTGCAGATAGTTTGTTGGTTGGTTTCTTTTGACACCTCCCTCCCCAATTCTCTGTTCCTGAGCCATGCTTCTAGTTTTGGTAGACTGTTCTGAACCTGGGCAGCCATTCAAAGGTAGGCTTGATGCTTACCAAAAGGGTGTCTCCTCCAGGCAGTGGACTGGAGGGATCTTGCTCACTGCAGTCTCATCAACAACTCAGTGTTCAACCCAGAAAAGATTTCTTAAGGCTTGTGGCAGTTCAAACACAGTGTGTATTAAATGCCAAACACGAGGGCTGTGGAGGTGAGGCTCAAGTGGTAGGTACAGTACCTGCCTAGTAAGCGCAAGGCCTTGAGTTCAAACCTCATTGCCACTAAAAAAATCCAGCCATGAGGACCTTATTGACTGTGAGTCAGAGAAGGGTCTTAGTGGGTTGTGAACAGCCAGCACTTTGTGCCTTGCTGGTCACAGAGCACGTCTGAAAGAGACTTTTCTTCTGTGTCAGTTACCTGTCGATTGCTTTGATAGTTCAGGGAGTGGTCCTACCTCGTTGAGCTTATGTGTTTTATTTAAGTAGATGTAAATGAGAGTCCACGGCTATGTAATTTTTAAAAACTGGTGTATATTTGGAAATAGCTACAAATGACTTTTATATCAAAAGAAAAATTAAATGTAGGACAGTTTGCCAGGTATGCCGTTTGTTGAATAAAAGACATCTCCTTGCATCCTCAGCTCGTGGACCTGCCTGGTGGACCTCGAAGGGCTGAACATGCGCCACCTGTGGAGGCCTGGAGTCAAAGCCCTACTTCGGATCATTGAGGTGGTGGAAGCCAACTACCCGGAGACACTGGGCCGCCTCCTGATCCTCCGTGCCCCCAGGGTCTTCCCGGTCCTCTGGACACTGGTGAGTTTCCATGCTGTTCTCCACGACTGCTGGCCATTGTCCCAGTGCTGTGCAAGTAGACCTTGCAGAGAAGGTCTCCTCCCATGGTTCAGTGTAACTAATCTTGGAAAATCAGACTGCAGAGCAAGTCGAAGTACACGGTCTTTTCTGATTGCTTTCAGGTTAGTCCGTTCATTGATGACAACACCAGGAGGAAATTCCTCATTTATGCAGGAAATGACTACCAGGGTCCTGGAGGCCTGCTGGATTACATCGACAAGGAGATCATTCCGGATTTCCTGAGTGGGGAGTGCATGGTACGCATCGGGCGGAGAGTCACCCACCTTGCTGTGGTGGTATGGGGAGGTGTTGGTTTGCACAGATGGTTTCAGAACTTTGAGTTACTCAGTGTTTTTTATTGGCTGTCATCTTTGACACAGATTAAACCTCACAGAAGCATTTTGGTAATGGTTGATGTGCACAGTTCTTCATGTCACATGATAATGAGGATTTGCTTTAGAGTCAAATGTAAGTGCAGCTTGCTTTATCTGCACAGCCTTGTGCACATCAGGTTTTTTAGCTGTTTTAGAGGAGCTGTGCATTTCTTTAAAATACTGTTACATTGAATGAGCCCTCAAGAAGATTTCTCCCTTGACAAAAAGCCAGGATAATGCCCACAGCGTGCACACGCACACACTTGAACTCAAGGCCTTGTGCTCGAGCACTTTACCACTTGAAGCACACCTCCAGCCCTTCTTGCTTTAGTTATTTTTCAGATAGGGTCTTGCATTTCTTTCTCTGGACCAGACTAAGCCAAGATTCTTCTACTTACACTGCTTATGTAGCTAGGATGGCAGGTGTGCACTGCCACATCCAGCTTTCTTTGTTGAGGTGGGGGGGGTCTCATTGACTTTTCACCTGGGCTGGCTTTGAATCATGATCCTCCCTATATCCACCTCCTGAGTGGTTGGGATTACAGATGTGAGCTACAGCGTCTGGTTATACCACCATAATATTTTAAAGTGGAAAATTAAAGGACCTGGTTTTCTGTAAGTTTGGGGTTTTAAGAAAATGAGGTACTGAGTAATCAGCCCAAAGCTTCATGTAAAGACTCTGTGCCGGAACCCAGGAGCCAGTGAGCCCATGAGGAGCACTGATGTGAGGAAGCTGACACCTGTAGCAGTCCATGGGATTTGCCCTGTGGACTGCAGTGGCTGAAGCCAGGAGGGAATCAGGTTCTTAGCAGAGAGACTCTCCAGCCGTCCTCCACGTAGCCTTCTCCTTTTGTGATGTGCACATTCTGGGCTTGACTCCCGACCTTTCTGAGCGGTCAGAGGACTGTAGAAAGCTTGAGAGTTTGGCTCTTCCTTCACCTTCATCGCTTCCACTTTAAGGCAGTGTGAGCCTAACCACAGTGCAATGCCAAGAGTAAGTCGTTTATCAAGTGCCCGAGAGATTAAACCACAGGTCAGGTCTGTAGCAGCCCATACCTGCCTTCATTACTGGAGCGACGTCTCATGTTGCAATTGTGACTGAGGTTGAGATGGGACAGGAAGAGATGGGACGCCTGTGCTGTGGCATTGAGTTTGGTAGTTAAGCCATCTAGTCTACCTTCTATGGCCTTCACCAGGGTTGAAGAAGTGGCATTCATGGCTGCTTTCCCATGGCTAGAGGGCATTCACCCAGATCCAGTCAATGTTTTCTGACATTGTGTTATTATGGGGATACTTTCCCATTGATGCCATGCTGCAAGCTGACGACTGTAGCGTCTGCTTTCTGTGTAGTTACCTCCCAGGACTGGTACTGTGGGGAGTGCATGGATTTTATGAACTTGAATACAAAGTTATTGTACCAAGGTCAATTTACAAATACATACAAATTCTAATTCAACTTAATCCAATGAATTCAAAAGAAATCCTTTATTAATTGGTGTTGAGGATTGAACCTGAGCCTCATGCATGCTGGGCAAGTGCTCTGCCACTGAGCTGTGTCCTAGTCCTGATTCTATTTTCATATAAAAATAATGCCTTAGCTGTTAGGGATAAAACCTTTCCTACCTTAATGTTTTTCCTTTACAGTGCAATATAATTCTTTTAATTCCTACATAAACCAACTTTAGTAATTGAGTCCAGTACCTCATGTATGTGGTAAACCAGCTTTAACTTGTTCTAATTTATTCTAAGTAAAACACATGTATTTAAGTGGTTTTAAAAATGTTTGCTAAGTAGTACAGATATTTTCGGCCTTGCTAGTATTTTCCATCCTCTAAGCCCCTTGGAGAGGACGTAAGCATAGAGACATGGTGCTGGCTGCTTGTGTTCCAGAGGGTCTGTCTGTCTGTCTGTACAACTCTCACTGCCGTGTTTTCATTTCCAGTGCGAAGTGCCAGAGGGTGGACTGGTCCCCAAATCTCTGTATAGGACCGCGGAGGAGCTGGAAAACGAGGACCTGAAGCTCTGGACTGAGACCATCTACCAGTCTGCCAGTGTGTTCAAAGGAGCCCCCCACGAGGTATCCCCACTTAAGCAGTCTGCACCACAGGGGTGTCCCCCAGCCCTACTGCCTGCCCATCAGGGCTTCCTGTAGGACCATCAGGACCAGGTTTGTGTCTGGTCCTTGTCTTCTTAGGTTTTGTTGACAGCTGATGTTTATTACTAGTAAATGTCAGAACTGAAGAACAGAGCTCTCTCAGAACAGAGTGTCCAGGTTTGGTCAGAATGTCTTGAGAAGAAATGGCCTACTGGCCTCTGTTTTCCTGGAGACCTGATCTAATATGGAGAGCCAGTCTTCTTTTGTGGGAGTCTTCCCTTGAGGGAGGACTTTTTCACTCCTAAGTGTAGTTCATTGAATGGTTATATAGAACAAGTTTACTTGCTGTTTTTTCTTGGCTGGTTCTTGGTTATTTATGTTTCTTAAGAACTTTGGTGATTTTTGTCAGTGTAGTGGAGTAAAGAGAGACAAGCTCACCTCTGGTTTCCGTTCTTACCTTCACATGGTGGCACAGAAGCAAGATAATTTCTGTTTGAAGTCCACCATGGGTCTGGCCTAGAGTCTGGCGACAGCATACTCACCCTCTGTTTAGCTCTAGGGCAGATGTGGCCCTGCATTACTGGTAGGACAGCATCCTTGGTGCAGAGTGGGTGACAGTCATGGTGCAATGCTGCCTCAGGCAGCAGTGCATCCAGGAGCTGTCACCTTACTGCTTTCTTCCTTAGCAGCTCCCTGGCTTAGCCACCTGCCGGTCCCCATCACTGGTGTGTCTTTCTAGATGGCTGACCCAATGCTCAGGGCAAGTAGATAAGGAAATATTGTTACTATGTTTGAACAAGCAGAGACAAATTTCATGTGCCTTCTTTGTGAATTCTATATGTGGAAATCTGAGTTTTCATGGCTGTCTTAGAGTTATTTGTCTTAATTTCTTAGCATGCTGGGGGAGGAAGAGCCCTGGTTTGTGGTCTGTTAGGCAGCTGTCCACCTTGTCTTTGTCAAGAGAGCTTAGGGGCTCATGGTCTCCTGTGAGTCACAGGCTGTGGTAAAGGTCAGAACAGTCCCAGCACCAGCTCTGCCTTGGGGTCTAAGACGTCCGTCCAAGGCAGTCTTACACCTAAGTGAAGGCGACCAAGGGTCCCCACTGTGCCTGCAGGAAGGAGAGTGTCTGTCTGCAGAGAGGCAAAGGGCCCAGAATAGATCTGCCCTTGAGAGCCATTTTGCGAGGAGAGTGGGCTGTGCCACTTCGTGCCATCTGCTGTCCTTAGAGGCAGCTGTGCGTCACTGAATCTGCTAGCCAAGGAAGTTCAGAAGTGGCTTGTTGCTGTGGAGCCCCGGGAGCGGCCGCAACACTGATCACTGCAGAGCTGCATGTAGCTGCCTTCATCCTCACAGCCCTCCCCGACTAGGCTTTGGAAACTGTGACCTTGCGCATTCCTTCCCTCTGGGAAGCTTACTATGGGTGCAGGATATAGTCTGAACTTGGAGCTAGCTCTCAGTACCCTGGACAGTCACCCCCAAAGCTATGGGGCTTATCATTGTCCCCCCACCAAGGCACGTGCAAGCACATGCCGCCATGCTCCCTTACGCTGGCAGTCACCCCTGTGCTCTGGCCCACCTCATGCCCTCCTTCCCTCCCTGCTGTTTTTCTAACCTCACCTCCAGGCCCCCAAGCATTCATCCCACCCCCCATGTCCAGTCTCTCAGGACTTCTGTCCTGTGTCAGGAAGCCCCAATCTCAGAATGCTGTCTGAATTGGTGTGTGGGAATCTTTTGGCTGAGGTACCAGTCACAAAGAGCACGAGCTTAACACGTGGCAGGGACCATTGATTTAAAGGATGGAGAGTGGGCTCTTGAGTGGCTGGATGACTGAGTAGCCCTGGGTGAGCTATCCCACCCCTCCCCTAGCCCATCTGGGCTGCACAGCCCCTGGAGGACACATTCCTGTCTCCTTGCTTGGGCCTCATGTGTGCAGATTGGTTGACTGATGAGATGTTTTTTTCCAGATTCTCATTCAGATTGTAGACGCCTCCTCAGTGATCACTTGGGATTTTGATGTGTGCAAAGGGGACATTGTCTTTAACATCTATCACTCCAAGAGGTCGCCACAGCCACCCAAAAAGGACTCCCTGGGGGCCCACAGCATCACTTCTCCAGGAGGGAACAATGTGCAGCTGATAGACAAAGTCTGGCAGCTGGGCCGGGACTACAGCATGGTGGAGTCGCCTCTAATCTGCAAAGAAGGGGAGAGTGTGCAGGTAAAAGCACGTGTCTGACTGTCAGTGGCCGGCGAGTGTCCTGCACTGGCCAAGCCTGCATAGCTTTTGGGGCACTTGCTTGCACAAGGGTATGGGTGAGCCTGGTTGCAGCTATGCTTCTTATCGTTGGAAAGGCTTTGGGGTGCCAAGGAGGCCGAGGACAGGCCAGAGATCAAGATACACCTCAGCAGGGGCTTGAGACCGAGCCTGGGACTTAGCTCAAGAGCAGTTTGCCCATGTGGCAGGATGCACCTGCACAGTTGCCTTTCAGTCCGCTGGTGCTGAGATGTAACTTGCTGTGCTCTTTGTCTTTAGAGGAGCCACAGATAAAAGTGAGAGGTACAGCACTTAGACCCTTGCTGCAGACGTATCTGCCAGGGTACGTGGACGCCCTGTGACATTCCCAGCACCACGCAGAGGCCTTAACAGGGCTGACCCTCCCTGCATGGAAGGTCGTTGTCTGACCACTTCCCGATAATGAGCGTCTTTACTCTCATCAGGACAGTCACAGAATTACTGCTACCAACCAGTGAGATGCGGAGACACAGCCTCAGCACATGTCAGCCCCCTTTAGGACAGGGACTTGGCAGGAAGTCCTCAACTGCTGTTGCCTCGCTTGTTCCAGGGCTCTCACGTGACCAGGTGGCCAGGCTTCTACATCCTGCAGTGGAGGTTCCACAGCATGCCAGCGTGTGCTGCCACCAACCTGCCCCGAGTGGATGACGTGCTGGCCTCCCTGCAGGTCTCTTCTCACAAGTGCAAAGTGATGTACTACACAGAAGTGATTGGCTCCGAGGATTTCAGGTATGGGCTTCCTTCCCCAGGGCAGGGGCAGACTAGTTCCAGCTGTGTGCAGGCAACAGGGACTCGGGGAGTAGCCAAAGCTCATGCTTGGGCTCTGATTCTGCCTAGCTGAGGTGGGATGACATCAAAGGGATGGAACAGCCTTTGCTTTGTGCACAGCATCGTCTGTGCAGGTTGAGGAAGCTATGTCCCCAGAGGTGAGATACCCTGGACCCATCCCCACTTCCTACATGCCGATGGAGCAGGGGCACGGGGGCGGGGAGCCGAGACTAGCTTCCTAGCTGCTAGGAAGCTGGCAAGCCCATGGGCAGGTGGTGGCTTCAGGGTGGGTCCTCAGCACCTCAGCCCCTCTCCGTACTGTTGCAGAGGCTCGATGACCAGCCTGGAGTCCAGCCACAGCGGGTTCTCCCAGCTGAGCGCTGCCACCACCTCCTCCAGCCAGTCGCACTCCAGCTCCATGATTTCCAGGTAGTGCCGCGAAGCCTGTGCCTAGTGTGCCAAGGGGATGGTCGCGCCTCCTCGACAGCCAGCTGTGCTCCGCCCGCCCACCCAGCGGCCACCTTGCGCAGACTCCTCTCACCCTCTAGATAGCAAGTAGCTCTCCAGATGGTAAATGCATTCGTTTAACCCCCGACTATCTTGACAGGTAGTCTTAACTCTAACCCTAAGTGACTTAATAGCCATAGATTTTGTATACTGCGTGCACAAAATCAAACCAGAGCACAAGGGCTCTCTTGAAAGAAAAGTAGTTTATATACCATTTAAGAGATTGACTTTGTCTCAGATATTGATGCAAAAAATTTTTCCACCAAAATCCACTTTGTCCACTAGCGAATGACTTCCTGTACTGTCCTGCAGAAATGAGCCCACCTCCTCAGGTGGAGCAGAGGCCTCCACCAGCTCCCCAGTCCCTTCAGCTCCCTGTCATTGAGGGCCTGTGGATGCAGTGACTGTCCTCAAAGTTCCTTTCCTCTGAGGACCAGGAGCCTGCAGGAGCACGCAGTCCCGGGGCCGAGTCACTCCCTCCTGAAGGGGCACTGGTGGCGCAAGAAGGGCTCTTGGGGAAGCCTGTGACGCCAGGAAAATGTCGCCATCACTAAACACTACTTTCTCTTTCCTCCTTTCCAACTCTTTTGTTAGTTTTCAGAGCAGGAGTTTTTCTGTCTGTGAACTTGGGTGGAAGGGATTCCCTCCCTGTCCTGAGTACTGCTCTTCCTGCCTGCAGGCAGGCAGTTGTGCCCTCAGGGAGATCCTCTCCCCGTGCTCCCACAGCCCGCTAGCCTCAGCCCCCTCTAGCAGGGTGCCGTGGGGACGGTAGATAGCATGTGCAGTGTGTGTGGGGACTAGCAGCAGACGCTGGAATCGCACCCGGTGGCACGTGGCTCGGAGCAGCCCTGCGTCTTTGTCAGTGGACGCTGTAGGCAAGTGTGCACGTGTGTTCATGTGTGTGTGTGAGTGGTGGGGCATGGTGGGGATGGGTAAGTAGAAATGTAGTTAACTCAAGTAGCAAAGGAGTCTTCCTAGAAGCAACCAGAATTTGAGATTCACTTGCTTTTTACAAAAGTTTTCTTTTTAATCCCAGTTACAAAGTGTGCTGTCTTGCACAGACCTCCATTTTTTTCTGCTTTTTACAGGAAAAGCAGGTTATTTACAAATCTGTCCAGAAGTTAGATGTAGCTGATCTCCGTGATAAAAACATGCAATGTGGGTTTTTGTGTGGCAGGGGCTTTTAAACATGTGTGCCAAAGCCCACGAGGCCACCACTGTGTGTGTGATAGGTGGCAGACACTTCTGCTCTGAGGCACTGGGTGGGTGACCATGTGATGTGAGAGCTATGTGGACGCAGAGTGCACACCTGCAGGACCTGTCAGGTGAGCGTGGGAAAGCCGAACCGCGCCTGGCCTGGGGCGTTCTGGTTCCCTGTCCCTCAAGTCATACTAGGCTTCTCCGACTGCCTTCCTGGCCCCTGGCTGTGTTTCCCATCGAGGGTGAGCCCCTCAGACATGAAGCCTTGTTTCCAGAAAGTGCTGAGGGCCTTAGGATGTTCTTGCTGCTTCCAGTCAGGGCTTCCATCTCCACGGTATAAGGACCTGAAGATGGCCCTGCTTTCTCTCTCTGTCCCTGTCTCTCTCTGTCTCTCTGTGTCTCAGATGGCGATTTTGCTGACAGCCTCCAAGAAAACTCTGCACTCAACAGTCCACATGTGCCCAGAGAGGTTTATAGAACTATTTGAATTGCAGCCATGTCCCCACCCCCCAGCTGAAGATCTTTCTTTTCAGTTGATTCAGAAGTGGCACTGTTTTAACCCCAAAGAGCTGAGCACACCTGTGAGATGAAAGAGGTGGCCTGAGGGCCAGTCCCAGGCCCTCGGGTTCTTGTGAGGGAGGAGCCAAGTGTTGACTGAGTCTGCGGTTTGCGCCATGTCTCCTCCCCGGGCCCTGCCACTCTTTGTAAGTGCTGCTGTCATGTCAGGTCCCTTTCTCAGCACTAATGATTCTTTTGGTCCTCCCCTCTATTACTAGTGTCTTAATTCTCTTTCCTTCCTAAATTCATTATTTGCATATCAAATTCTGTAAATGTTTTGTAAACTTATTACCTCACTCTTGGTAATACAATACTGATAGTCTTTAAAAGATTTTTTTATTGTTACAATAATAAATGTGACTGTTTAAGAAAAGAGTGTCCTTTCCTTCTTGGGCAAGTCTTTCTTGAAGAGTGCAGTTCTGGGGACTGGAGACAGGACGGGGGAGGGAGAGCTCTGAAGCCCGGTCACGCTCTGCCCAGCTGGTGCAGCCCGCTGTGCCTGCAAGCAGGATGAGCTGGCTCGCTTCCGTAAGATATGCCGTGCTTTTTCTGGTGTGACTCCTGATGTCATCACATTCTTAACTAATGAATCCATTTTAGTAGGTGCTTCAGGAAATAAAATAGGTAGATGTGTGCCTGAGGGAGGCAGGGCTACCTGACCTTGGTCTTGGTGGGCCACAGGGGCAGCGCAACCAAGGAGGGCAGAATGGGCTGAAGCACTAGGGAGGTGGAGGTCCGCCAGGGTGCAAAGGCTGTTGGGAACTGTGAGGCCATTTGCTCTCTTAGGATCTTTGATGTGTCCCTGGTGGGGCACAGCTTGGGGCCTGGCTGGTGCATGGGGCTGGGAAGTCTGCACACTGCCACCTGGATGATGAGTTTACATCCAGCTAGGTAACTTCCTAACCTCAGTGCCATGCAAACCATTATGGTGACTGCTGATCTGTGGCGGGCAGGTGGGTGGGAGGGAGCATCTGTGCTGCTCAAGTCAGACCTGCTTTTGCCAGCCTTTGGTTTTAGTGGTCAGGTTCTTATGTGGAAGCCAGAGGCAGCATGGGAAATAAGTGAGGGTTGCAAGCATCTTCTACCTGCAGTCTGTGTCCTGACCTCCACAGAGACCACCCTAAAATGGAATGTTTTTTCCTTCCTCTCTTCCTCCCCTCCTTCCTTCCTTCCTCCCTCCCTCCTCCTTTCTCTCCCTCCTTCCTTCTCTTCCTTCCTTCCCTTCTCTTTCTTTTTTCTTTCCTTCCTTCCTCCCTCCCTTCCTCCTTCCCTCTCTCCTGCTCCTTCCCTCCTTCCCTTCCTTCCCTTCCCTTTTTCCTTCCACCCTGCCCTACCCAGGCTAGCCTTGAACTTTTGATTCCCCTTCCTTAGCTTCCAAAGTGCAGGGATTATAGGTGTGCACCACCACACCTAGCCCCATGTTGTTTTGTGTTATATGTGGTGGTGGGGGCGGTGATACGGTGATAGTCTGGGGTTTAAACTCAGGGCCTTGCACTTGATAGGCAGGTGCTATACCACTCAAGCTATGCACCCAGTCCTTTTTGCTTTAGTTATTTTTTTCAGATAGGTCTCGATTTTTGCCTGATGCCAGCCTCAGACCAATCCTCCTACCTATTCCTTCCTCATAGCTGGGATCACAGACATGTAACCACCACACCCAGCTTGTTTAGATGGGGCGGGGGGGGGGAGTCTCACTAACTTTTTCCTTGGATTGGCCTTGAACCAATCTCTACTTCCTAAGTAGCTGGGGGATTACAGGTGTGAGCCACCTCACCCAGTCCGTTTTCCTTAATGTCACATCCTTGTAGGACTTTTTGAACCTAAACCACAGGATTCCTTCCAGATCTCAAGTCATGGGGAGGCATTTTCATTAATATTGTCATGAAACAAGTCAACCGGAATCAGTTTTGCTTGAAAAGTGAGGGTTTGTAAAAGCCAGGCAGTCCCAGAAGACAGTAGAGGCATCCCCACAAAATACAAATACGTTCAAAACCTAAGACCTGTGGGCAACTGCAACATGCACTTTAAAATGGCAAAACTTGCATTATTTAGCACGATGATAAAAAATTTGGTGGGCATTATTTATAATACTGGATGATGGGTACCCCCATAAGCCCCCACAGGCGTACTGTGGGCAAACCACTCACATGCATAAGACTATTGGCAGGCCCTGTATCTGGCAGAAGCAGAGGTTGAACACCAGGGTGTCTGGTGGATGCAAGAGCAGAGTTGTGCAACCTGAGGGTCCCTGTGACACCCGGTGTGAGCTTAGTGGTGAGACAGGCTGGCACTGGGCTGCCCCGTGGCCCTCACACAGGCCTGTGGACAGGTCTGGAGGCAGCACACTAGCCTAAAACAGCTCCCAAGGCTCTCTTCTCAGACGCCCCCCACGAGGAGGAAGATAGCTCAGCAGAACAGGGACAAAGAGGCAGATATAAGACAGCCTGGAAGCAGATGGACCAGCTATGCTACACCTCCCCAAAGCAACAGAGGGAGCTTCTTGTTACAGATGCTATTTTATTTGGGGGTGTGTGTGTGTTAGATATTTTCCAGATAGGGTCTCATAAATTTACTTGCCCAGGCTGGCTTTGAACCATGATCCTCCTGATCTCTGCTTCCTGGGTAGCTAGGATTACAGCCGTGAGCCACCAGCACCTGGCTTAGAGATGCTTTCTTGACCATGTCTTATTCAAAGCTTAGAAATATTTCATGTGCCAGGTGTCACAGTGATGCACACCTGTAATCCCAGTCCCCAGGAGGCAAAGGCAGTAGGATCATGAGTTCAAGGCTAGCCTGAACTACATCGTGAAACCCTATCTCAAAAATAGATACTTTCGATAAAAATTAAGCATCAGAAAATAAAGTCCTTACAAGGCTGAGAAGCGAGATCTAAAAGAACATCCCTGCAGTGAGGCCCATATCCACCAGCCAGATAGCAAACATCAAAACAATTGGGAAATGAGCCAAAGAAAATGAAAGTGTGAGAAAAAACACACAAGAGCTAGAAAACTCAGAGAGGAGGCGACCCCTCTGCAATTAGAGATGGGTTAAAACATTATTTCAGAAATTGAGACTAACTGTGTAAGGCTGGCTGCAAAGTGACAGTAGAGGACCACACACTGACCTCAGGGAGGACCTGAAAATGGATCAAGATCAAGAAATACCTTCGTAAAATTGCTGGACTTTTTTTTTTAAGTCCATGGAGACATTAAGGGAGAGAACTTGGGGTTTTCAAGTTCTGAATTTCAGGCCAGAAACAGGTGAATAACAGATTTCTTTAACCATTTTTTATGGTATTGGGATTTGAACTCAGGACCCTGCGCTTGCTAGGTAAGTGCTGTACTGCTTGAGCCCAGTAACAGATTTCTCAAGGGAAGAGTGAGCGGAGGGTTTTATACCCAGCAAAACTGGGGTATCAGGACCTCAGTGAAGCTGTCAATGACCCACATCCTGGGAAGGTCGTCCCCACAAGCCCTGCCGGGGCTCTGGTGTGCAAATGGGCTTGGAGCCCACTTGGAGCTCCAAGGCCTGGCAGTGGCTGGGCCAGCTGGCCGGAGAACTGAGATCCGGGAGGGGAGAGGACGGGGTGCCTGGCGGCAGATGAGTCCCACATCTGCTTTCTACAATGGGGGGAGCATATGCGAACGTTTGTTGCGTTTTTAGTAACTGTATTAGCAGCAGTCTTCCCGTGGTTGTTCTGAGAGTGTTGCTATGGTAACACGATCAAACAAATGAGCGGTTATGGGATTGTCTAAGTCTACTCTTCCCTGTGTCCTGGGCTCAGGATCCCTGAGGGAAGGGCGGAGGTTAACCCAGAGCCCTGCCATCTCACATGTGAACTGAAGGTTCACTTGAAGTCTGAGCTATAGGAGCAGGGCTTCCTGTAAACTAAAGCGACCCACTGAGGCTTATTTTCAGAAATGAGGCTGGGGTCGTGTCTCAAGAGCCAAGATCCTGAGTTCAAAACTCCAGTACCAACAAAATATTTTTTTAATAAATGGACAAGACTGAATTATTTTTATCTGGAGATTCCCATTCAGGTAATGACCAACTTTAAAACACAAATAAGTTACCAGGTGCTGGTGGCTCGCACCTATAATCCTAGCTACTTAAGAGGCTGAGATCAGGAGGATCACAGTTCAAGGCCAGTCTAGGCAGGGAGTCCGTGAGCCCCTATCTCAACCAGTAGCTGGGCACAATGGCATGCACCTGTCATCCCAAGTTACAAGGGAGGCTGAGATCAGGAGGATTGCGGTTCAAAGCCAGCCTGGGCAAATAGTTCCCAAGACTCTATCTCGAAAAAAACCCTTCACAAAAAAAGGCTGGTGGAGTGGCTCAAGTGCTATTGAGTACCTGCCTAGCAAGAATGAGGCCTGGAGTTCAAACCCCAGTCACTGGGTGGCCAGGACAGGTGTGAGGGCATGGGGCAATTCTGGCCCCTATACAGTGTCCATCTGACTGTGTGGTTTCTGTATCTTTTTTTATTTTATAATAAAAAGGTACATTGTTTTGTTGGGGTTCCGTGTGTGTGCCTTAAAGGAAAGTAACACTGCCTCTTTACCTGGGAAAATAAGCTTACATCTTTCCAAGCTGCAGGCTGGGGCTGCTGCCACCTGTGGCACAGGAGTTGTGTGCAGGGCTGGCCTTCAAGAGCTCCTGTGTGACCATGCCAAGGACAAGAAAGCAGGGCACAAGCTGGCGAGGAGGCGCAGTGGAGAGTCCGCACTGTCCCTCACCATCTGTGTTCCCAGGAAGGAATCAGGCTATGCCAGTTAAAACTGCCTTGCAGCATGCTAGCCATCGCTGTCCTGCCTCTGCACAGAAGTGCTGGGCTGTTAGCTACTGGGCCTTGCCTTTGAACCTAACAACCAACCAGTCAGGACCCAGTTTGACAGAGACACAGGAGCGCTCACTGAGTCTGTGTGCCAGCCCCAACCACCATGTGCAAGTCAGAGACATGGACAGGAGACCTAGCTGCCCGCTGTCTCTGGACTCCGGGAGAATAGCAGGGTAGATAGAGTCATCAGGTCCTGATGACTGGGTCCAGTGGTTGCCATGAGCAGAAACCCCTCCCCTCCCGGCACCCCATCCACCAAGTGTATGTTCAGTCCAGAATGGAAATTACACCTAGTTTCTGCCTCTTGCTTTTATGAGGCCAGTCTACCCATGATCTGATGGTCCCGTGGTGCTGCATGGGAGTGACACCAAGCGACAGCCTGATCAGGAGCCTGTTAAAAGGTGGTCCTGTCTGCCAGGAGGTGTTCCTCCTCTAGCATCAGCTGTGTCTCCTGTCACCAGGCTCCTTCAGCTC